GTCATAGCTTGCAGCCTTGCTGAGCATATAAAAGGTGTAATAACAAGAAACAGAGATGGCTCTTATTTATTTCATTTCTACAGAGGTGAAAGGCCCTAGCTAATTTTGCTGTTTGTTGGTTTATAAGCTACCTGTTCCAGAACAGAAACAAGGCAATGAGGCCACTTTAATCTCCGAGGGGCTTTGGGATATGCCTTTGGACCAGATGCACACCAACTTCCAATCAACCAAACTAAAGAATGAATGGATCCTGGAAAGGTATTTTTGTTTTCACCCAGTGACACAATAGCTGCTCAATATTGCAGTATGATCACCAATAAATGCTCATTTATTCAACAAATGCTTAGTGAGTTTGTGTATACTAGATAATGAGCTAGAAAGACACTGCAAGGAAAATAGGAGATCTTAACTTTGCGGAGAGAGGATTCTGGAGACTTCTGGCCAAAGTGAAATAATAAAAACAGGATTTACCCACACGCCTGAAACCCCAAAATGAACAAAATATATAAAAGAAGTTTTCGAGACACTAATAATCATCAGGCAACTAAGGACAGTGATCCCTGAGACATGAGAAACAAAGTGAGCCCTCTGACTGCTCAGCTTCCTGCCTAGAGAAAGTGTCCAGCTGCAGCACAAGGGAGCGGGAACCCAGGCAGGGCCTGGGGAATGTTCTGAACTGAGGAGACAGAGCTGACAGAAAGACCAAAGCAGCTGGCATCTGCAGGACAGAATACCAGAGAGGAGAGAGTTGCAGAGATAGAGATCTGGAGATCTGCAGAGGGCTGCCTTTCCATCCTCAGCAGAGCGCATGTGTGAGGAACTACCTGGGGCCAAGGAAAACACACCTGGGAAGATGCCAGATAATAGTGCCTGTGCTCATGCAGGGCTGGGAGGAAGACCTGTTCCCAGCAGCCAGACTGTAAAACCTCATAAATCACAGGGCTCTGCAGAGGGACCTCAGAAGGGTCTTGCCCCAGTAGTGGAGAAAAAATTAGCTCTAGAATGAACGCTGCTCCGGTCCCACCGAGCAAATCTTAAAAACAAGACCCTAAAAATCAAACTGTTTCCAAGTAACTTAATCATGTCCCAGGATGAAACTCAAGAATATTTACAGGGATACCAAAATACCCAGCACCCAGCAAGTTAAAATTCATGTCTGAATCAAAAAAAAAAAAAAAAAAAAAATGACCAGTATGGTAAGAAGCAGGAAAATTTGATCCATAAGGAAGAAAAAATAATCCATCATAACTGAGCAATGGCAGATGTAAAATTAGCAGGTAAGGATATTAAAAGTTATTATAATTATATTCCATGGGTCCAAAAAGTTAAGAGACATGGAAGATATGGAAAAAAAAAGAAAAAGGAGTGAAAAGAGAACAAAGAACTGATGGGACAAGAGAAAAGATACACCATCCTAGCACTAATGAAAAGTAAGATTGGCTATATTAATATCAGTGCAGATTTCAGAGTAAAGAATATTTTACCAGGGGTAAAGAAGATCACTTTATAACGACAAATGGTCAATTTGTCAAGAGGACTTACCAATCCTAAACAAACAGAAACTAATAACAGAGCCTCATAGTATATGATTCTAGAACAATTAACACTAGTATCCAATACTATGTAAATTACATACAAAAATGTTGGAGGGAAAGGAATATTCATTCCCTGGATACGGTTATCCAGGGAAAGTTTCCCATAAAACGAGGTCTTAAAGTGAGTGATGAACGACTCATCTGCCTAACTCTGTACCCCAAAGGAGTAATAAGTGAATTGTTCAAAAGATGCAGTGACCAGTCTCAAAAGGAGACACCAGCACCTGCATTATTAACTTAAGCAGCCCATTTCAAATACCAGCTTCGGTGCCAGAGAAAACCACTTTTTAGAGGTCCATATAAGAGACATTTAGCCTCCCACTGCCAGCTAAGCCAGGAGGCAAGGAGATGAGTGTGGCGGCAGTCACCCCCGGGAGCGAGTGTCCTGCCTCGTCTCCTTCAGTGCGACCCACCGACTCCACAGCAAATCTCTGAGTAATGAAGAAAACTTGAAACTGTTTGGGAAATGCAACAATCTAAATGGCCATGGCACAATTATAAAGTTTGGTGACGGTGCATGGAGAGATTGATCCTGTTACAGGAATGGTTATGGAAGAAGCTTCAAAAGAAAGGTCAGGACCTGAACTGGAATTGAAGAGAAAACAGGAGGCAATTATGAAGCCCCTTGATCTTAAGAATCTGGATCTGGATGTGACATAGTTTGCAGACTCAATCCCAGGACCCTGAGATCATGACATGAGCCGAAGTCAGACGTTTAACTGAATGAGCCACCCAGGTGCCCCCAAAATACTGAATGTATTATAAAAAGAAAGCCACTAAGGGGCACCTGGGTGGCTCAGATGGTTAGGTGTCTGCCTTCTGGTCAGGTCATGATCTCAGGGTCGTGAGATGGAGCCCTGCCTCGGATTCTGAGCCAGTGGGGAGTCTGCTTGAATTTCTCCCTCTCCCCCTACATGTGCGAGCACACACACAGGAGTGCGTACAAGCACGCTCTCTCTCAAAAATAAAATCTTAAAAAAAAAAAACCCACTGATTATGAATGCAAAATTATCTGCTTCTTAACTCAACTATTTCTGTTTATTTCATACCCATCCAAAGTCTAAGAAATAAGATAAACTTTAAAAAAGTTATAAAAGGAAACAGAAGTTATTACACTCCAACTGAAGATACAGTGGTTTTTTTTCCTTGTCCCTCATATTCCTCGCCCCTATAATTTCTCCCCTCTAATATTTTCTTGTTTTCCACAATTCTTCTCTACCTTCTTTCCTACTTCCTCTAATCCACCAAGATCTTTCCCTAGGCAACTGGAGATTATGAAACAAGAGCATACTGGGAAGCTTCGTGGGTCAGCTCAGGACAAACTCGGCTCTTTCACATCTCTTATTTTCTCTTCTTGTCCTCAAATTCCACATTTTTTCCTGCCATCTCTTTTTCTCACATCTCTCCCTCTGCTTCTACCTCCATTCTTCTTCCTAATTATACCTCTTCAGTTTACTTGAAACATACACAATAGTTAAAGGTGATCAATATTTATTCTCATAAAATTATGTTTTCCTATATAAACAGGACTGAAGCTATAAACACTGTGTAACAACACAGGTATGGCTGCTCAGATGAAAACATAACCAGTAGTTGTTTCTATGTGAAACACAAAGGAACTGATGCTTTTGCTCAACTATGTGATTCCCCACACTTCAAACCTATGCACTGGTTTTCAATCCTTTTTCTGGCCCTAAACATCTGAGGGACAAGACGTTCCCATCTTAAACAGTAGTATCATGGTTAACTTTATGAGCCAATTTGGCTGGGTATGGTGCCCAGATAATTGGTCAAATATTATTCTGGGTGTTTCTGGGAAGGTGTTTTTTTAGATGAGATTGACATTTAAATCAGTGGACTTTGAGTAAAGCCATATGTGGTGGGCCTCATCCAATCAGCTGAAGGCCTTAACAGAACAAAGACAGATCTCCTCTGAGTAAGAAGGAATTCTGCTGGCAGACTGCCTTTGGACTTGAACTGCAACTCCTCTCTAGTTCTCCAGCCTGCTGGCCCATCCTACAGATTTTGGACTTAATAAGCCTCCATAATCACATGAGCCAATTCCTTACAATAAATCTCACCCTCTCCCCAACACACAGCCTTTTGGTTCTGTTTCTGTTTCTCTGGGGAACTCTAATACAAGTAACTATGGTAGTGATGCTGAACTAGCGATAAGGGGAACGTGGGGTTTAGTGAAGAGCAGAGGAGTTGGGGATGACAGATAATTTTTTAAAAGGCTTAATGTAGACCTCATGAATTACCTACTCAAAAGTCATTTGCTAGCATTCTGCTATTACAGAGGCTAAAATGCTAAAATGAATTTTCCAGCCTCCCTTGCCACTAAGGGGTAGCCACGTGACAGAGCCATGGCCAAATTCTTGAGAAGGGTTTCCTTCCTAAGTAAAAAACTAAAGCCTAACTCGGAGAAAGCACTATGCTCTCACTGTTCTTCCCGTCTGGATTACTAAGTGCCTGGAAAAGCTCACCTTCAGATCTTGCAATTGCTGCCACCATCCCCGAGGGTTCTATACCCTCAACAAGAGCGCAAGTACACTGTGGCTTCTCAGGCCAACCTGGACTGAAAGCTGAGAAACTTAACCTACTTCACGTTGTGTTATATAGAGAACTTTAAGATATATAGCTGTACTCAGTCTTCACTCAATTTACCTAAGGTCCAACTCTGCAGTGGGAGAGACCTGGACAACTTTCCTGAAAATAATGGTTATGAAGCATTGATGATTATAGCTATGAATTACTAAGGAAGGCTGTATGATATCCTTTATTATTTTTAAAAATTTTATTTATTTATTCGACAGAGAGAGTGAGAGAGTACAAGCAGGGGGAGCAGCAGAGGGAGAGGGAGAAGCAGGCTTCCCGCCAAGCAGGGAGCCTGATGCAGGGCCTGATGCCAGGACCCTGAGATCATGACCTGAGCAGAAGGCAGACACCTAACCATCTGAGCCATCCAGGCGCCCCTGTATGATATCCTTTAAAAAGGGTCTTTGAAAATATGGCCTGAATTATGTTATGGCATTTCTCCTTAAAGAGAGGAGTTAGAACAGAGCAGTGCTTTGTCATCATTTGCATTCCGAAATACACTAGTGAATTTAAAATTTTTACCTCAACACACTTTTAAATTTGTTACAGTAGAGAACTAGAGTGTTACATAAAATCACTGTATTATAAAACCTCACTTACAAATCATTAAAAAGGAACTTATTGGCCAAGATGATGAAAAATGCAAATGAAGTGCCAAATTACCTAACAAGCTTTTAAGTCAACAGTGTCCCATCTTTAAGGCTACTAATGATGCATCTCTAAAAATACTTTTTCTCCAGACCTACCCTACCTATAAAAAGAAAAATCAAGTGCTATCAAATAATGACTTCAAAGTTCTGTGTTTACCTTTTTTTTCTCCAGTGTAGGGCACGTAGTCTTCCCTGTCCTTATGCTCCAATGCCTCCTTCTCCAGGTATGAAAGGAGGTGTTCTCTATCAAATGGCCCTGTGGCGGACTTGGACGTCTGGTTCTTCTGCCGGAACCCTGCAGGCAGAAGGGCATTCTGCCAAAGAGAATGAATCAGCCACTATGATCGCCAAGAATGCCAACACTATATGCTTCCACAGATTTAAGAAAAATTATAGACCGGAATGTGATACAGACATTAAACACTTCATTAGAGGATTTTAGGGCAGCAATGTAAAAATGTTCCACACAAAGTTTTTCTTTATTAGGTAGAATTCAATTACATTATTAAAATAAGCATATACACATTTTCTCAGAAAGTATTCTACTAGAAGGAAACACCCTTTACTTTTTAAATGTCCTGGGTGGTAATAAAAAGTTTCTTAATGATTAATAACTGCTCAGCATATATGCATATAAAGAAAATAATTCTATTACAAAAGAATTTTAAATGATATATACATTGGATTCCTTCATAATGATTTCTATTTCAGGGTAAAGACTTTTTCATACAAAAACATGTATGCTGTACAGTAAGATATCAGGGCAGTAATGTTCACTTGCTTGTGTTTAAACACACTGTGAAAGGTTCAACTTCTTTATGCATGTATGCATACATCCGTACGAGGATGTATTTGCAGCAACCACTGTCACTGCTACTCATGCACCAAGGCCCGCCAGGGTACTCAGAGCAAGAGCTATATCCCTGGGTTTCCCCCTGGGTAGTCTTTCTGAGTGCCTGGAGGGACTGAGAGTGGGGAAGGAGGGAAGGCAATGGATCAGAGTTTTCTCTTAAAGAGAATTTTCTGAATTTTTACTAAGTCCAGGAATAACAAGCAGTGATTAGAACATATGAGCTCCATCTTTTTGCTCATTGAAAGGCAAAGTGGTGATACTGCTTTGTCTCACTATTCCTAGATATTCCTTTGCTTTGGAAATGGAAGGCAGCCCGAGAAGTCACACAAAAGGGCCAGTCTTTTGCAACACATCCCAAAGTTGGCAATAATGCTGATTCTCATGGATGTTATAATTTTCATTATAAAGGGAGATCTTATATAGATAATAATAGGGAATGTACATTTTATAACTAGAAAATATAGCACTTCATGGGGCGCCTGAGTGGCTCAGTCGTTAAGCGTCTGCCTTCGGCTCAGGTCATGATCCCAGGGTCCTGGGATCAAGACCCACGTCGTCGGGCTCCCTGCTCCACGGGAAGCCTACTTCTCCCTCCCCCACTCCCCCTGCTTGTGTTCCCTCTCTCGCTGTGTCTCTCTCTGTCCAATAAATAAATAAAATATTAGAAAAAAAAAAAGAAAATATAGTACTTCAACTGTGGCCATTTGCTGAGATCCGTAATAATTTTCATAAAATCCACCTTTGTGTTCTCCTCGTGTAATGGTAGGCATTACACAGAAAGCTCACCTATAAATATGAAACACAAAGGACGTCTGTTCCTAACCCTGCACTAAAAATGTTTTTGTAACACAAAATTGTGTATGGGAACATAATAAAGAAACAAGATTTCTACCTACCAACTTTGAAATAGAGAGCTACACATGAAAAATCCACTCCTAATGAACCATCAAGTTCTACCCATTTTTACTTCCTAAAAAACTCATTCATCTGTTTACTTCCCTCTGTCTCTAACACCCATTACTTTGGTCCAAGCTATGATCAGGCTGGCATGGAATATTACCTGAGCTTTCAACTGGTCTCCCTAGATCAGCTGTCTGATATTCCTCATCCCTCACTCCCACTCCATGATGTTACTCTAACCTCACCTCATATACCTTCCCCCATTCTAGCCACACTAGCCCTTGCTCCTCCCTGTGCTTGTCACACCTTCTTTCTACCAGAAGCCTTCTCTAGAATGCTCTGTCCACCATTTTTTGCTACTCATTTTTTAAAAAGATTTTTTATTTATTCATTTAAGAGAGGGAGCAAGAGCACCAGCAGGAGGGAAGGTCAGAGGGAGAGGGACAAGCAGATGCCCCGCTGAGCAGGGTGCCTGATGCAAAGCTCAGTCCCAGGACCACGGGATCATGCCCTGAGCCAAAGGCAGATGCTTAACCAACTGAACCACCTACGTGCCCCTTACTACTCATTTTTAAGACTGCAGCTCCATTCCCCCAAGGGAAGCTTTTTCCTGACCTCCCATTATATGCTTTTATATTAATATGGCATGATTATTTGATTAATGCCTACCTCTCCCCACTCCTACCAGCCTGCATCATGAGGGCAAAAACCACATTTGTTTTGCTTACTCTTGTATTCCTAAGCCTAGCATAGCACCAGAATCTATTGGTTGCTCCCCAAATATTTACTGAATAAAGATTTGAGAATACTTTTATTTTTTTAAAAGATTTTATTTATTTGAGAGAAAGAAAGAGAGCACAAACGGGGGGAGGGGCACAGGGAAAGGGAGAAGCAGACTCCCCACTGAACAGGAAGCCTGATGTAAGGCTCGATCCCAGGACCCCAAGATCATGACCCAAGCCAAAGGCAGGAGCTCAACCAACTGAGCCACCCAGGCACCCCTGAGAATACTTTTAAAGAAAAATGCTCATTAAGGCAAATTAATAAAAGTTACTTTCCATCACCATCAATTATGCATACTGCTCTTACATGGTGGTAGTGATGGAGTTGCACTATTCCCGTGCATGCTCAAGCCCATGAGAAACATGTAAGTTTTTTTTTTTTTTTTTTGAGATTTTATTTATTTGACACAGAGAGAGACAGCGAGAGAGGGAACACAAGCAGGGGGAGTGGGAGAGGGAGAAGCAGGCTTCCCGCGGAGCAGGGAGCCTGATGCGGGGCTTGATCCCAGGACCCTGGGATCATGACCTGAGCCGAAGGCAGACGCGTAATGACTGAGCCACCCAGGCACCCCGAAACATGTAAGTTTTAAGTGACATGTCAGCTGGAATCCTGGCTCCTTAAATACAGTTTCTGAACAAAAATAAATGACAGGAAACTGGCTTTGGAGGCTATAAACGCATCAACCATGCTTTATTAGAAGTATACTTTAGTCAAGTTAAGAGATCATAATTACTTAAGAAAAAGGTAAAATCTCATTAAAATGATTGCCACTAAAAAGTGTATGTTTCTCCCTCATAGAATTTTGTTGTAATGATATATTCCAAGCCTTGGAAATGAAAATAGCTTTTGCCTAGGCTGGCTGGCTGGCTGTCTTTAGAGATGGGTGTTTTCTGAGAAAAGTAGTAAGTTGGCAAGTAAATACACTGAATGCAGCATAAGGGAAGTAAAAGAGCCCTCCAAAATATAACAAGGAACTATATACAACCTCTACCTGCTCTTGTCTTCTGAGACTTTGTAAGTTACAGAGGTGTTTCTCTGCCTGAAGTAGCTACTACCACCCTTGCTCCCTTTTCTCACCTCATCTTTCACTGGCACTCTTCCCCCAAATTTTACCTAACAAGTGGCATGCTGTCAATAAACATCACTGTTCTTCTAGTCTCAACTAACAGTATCTGAGGTTGGGGGAGTTGCAACTGGGGTTGGGAAGCTGGCAAAATATATCCAGAAGTTAGAACTCAAGCCTCCCCATACAAGAAGCAGGCCATGGTTTTGCAAATGAGAAAAATATAAACCATCAGCTTTTAGACGTATAGCATAGTGCATGCGTTAATAGGGGCATCACTGCAGTTGAACGGAAAGACCACCAGCCTTTGCCAGGGAGCAATGAGGCAGTGAGGGATCCGGTCTCAGTTCTTTCCCTAATTGTAGTAATTGAGGCAAGTCACCTAACTTTTGTTTTCCATCTGTAAAACAGAGGGCAAGTGTTAGCTCAATGTTTCTCAAACGAGGTGCTCCCATAGGGGACAACTGGCAATGTCTGGAAATACTTTTTGTTGTCAGAACTAAGGAGAGGAAGTATTAATCATGTTTTTTATTTTTTGTATTTCATGATGCTTTGCCATTTGGGAGCCTTGCTAATGTTAGAAAGACCTCTCCAGGGGGGCTAGCTAATTCCTGGGATAGCAAACAACTCTCCCTCACATACCCAACAGTGTGCTTTCCATATGAAAACCAACCAATCCAGAGCTCAAACCCCAACCACTTCCTTTATCTCTCGCACACCAAGCCAATATCCCACCCGCCCACACACACACCCTAAATCACCCAGAACCAGGTAGCTGGACAACTGGAGACTACTCCTATGGCCCAAAGCCCACCGAAATTACTCAAATTATCTAACCCTAAACTTGCTCAAACTTGCCAACCCTATCCCACCCATTCCTTCCCTCAGAAGCCACAACAAAGGTTCTGGGCCACACTTGCTCCTTGCTTCTTCTGCTTCCTGACCAACCCAGGTGCTTTCCCAGGGGGTCCTGTGTGCTTCCTGCTCTTGGGGACCATAAGTATTAAACTCTTTCTCCAGGTCTGTAATCTTACCACCGCTAATTAAAACAAAATCCCAGGTCCATTTTTAAACAGGGGGGTGTGCTATTGGCATGTAGTGAGATCAGGATGCTACTAAATAACTTAAACGCACAGGATAACCCCCATAACAAAGAATTATCCAGCCACAAATGTCAATAGTGTCAAGGTTAAGAAACTCTGGGCTAGATGAGCTCTTCCGTTCCTGCAGTTCTACAACCACTTGATTCAAACAGGTCTAATAGGGTGAACTGCCTGTAGAAGATATTGCTGTGACATGATCAGTACTGTTATCCTGAGTTATCCCCCAGACTCATGAGCACCGCAAAGTTTTCCTTGTGATAACAATTACGATTAAGGGTTTTGATCTATGGTATAGACACATTATTGAAGTGCTGAAGTAATGTTGAGAAAAGGAGTATAATTCTCAATAAAAATTCAAACACATTCCAGCAAGAAATAAATGTGTTGTAGTAACAAGAACAATTTTATAAAACAAACTCTACCTCAATTCTTTTTTTTTCTTTTTTTTTTTTTAAAGATTTTATTTATTTATTTATT